ACGCCACCTTTTAATATTTTTTATATCATGCCACTAAATTCAATACTATTTATTTTTGCATTCATCCCCAAAGTAAATAAGCAACTTTATGGATGAGGATACCTTTATGTATTTAAGATAGTTTCCCTTTTTCTCTAACAACTTGAAACTTGAAAGTTTAAAAAGAAACTATCCCAAAATTTTTAGAGAGATAAACTATCTGAAATGTTGAATTTTTAGATCAATAAATCATCTTAAAATTTTTAGAGAGATAAATTATCTCAAATTTCAAGTTTTAAAGTGAGAAGATATCTCACTTTTTTATAGAAAGAAATTGATGGAGAGCAAAATTATTTTATTTTTAATTTTTATTCAATTTTGAAGGATTTATATTATAGTTTTAGAGTTTATTTCTAGGTTCTTTAGTTTTTTACGGATTCTAGGGCTTTTGGTTGCATTTACTTTATGAATATTATTCATAATTATTGTTCACGAGTACTGCTCACAGGGATAAAATTGTGATTATAAATTTTAAGTTTAATTTAGGGTTATAGGTCAATGTATTACTTATTTGTATAATTTTTGTATTTGAAATATTAAATTATAATATATAAGAGATGTGTGGGGCTTTGAGGGAAGTGATTCCACATGGTTTTTATAAATTAAAAGAGAAATAAAAACTTAGGCCTTTGTAACACTAACTTAGATGTGGAGACGGTACGCTAGATTTCTTTGAATTACGTTTGTATTTGGTTTTATTCCTTGTTGATTTTACTATTCTATTAAATTTTCCAGCATCAAATTGGTATTAGAGTCTGCGAAGTATGCGGAAGGTAATGTAGCAGTGTAAAGAAGTTGTTATTGCAGTATATGGAAGTTATTGTAGTAGTATACGGATGGTATTATAGCGTTAATTTTTGTACTCTAGATCAACAACAAAACTTAGATCTTGCTATTTTCAGTTGTTTTATTGATCACTTCCCTAGAATTTGTGATTTGGCGATTCCTAGACAAGAAGCAGCTGTGCAATGGGAGGTTTCATAGATCCACTCTATGATCCCATAAATAACATAATTGATGAACTTGAAAGGTAAATTCAATAGTTGTTGTAGTAATTCGTGAGCTTTAATAATAGGCAAGACAATGGTGATCTTTCAGCCAAAAAAGGATATCGAGTACAAGCCTTTTCATATTCATATACCGCGTGTGGAGTCAGGTGATGAGGATAGCGATAGAAGATCTAGACTTGGAGAACATCACTTTATGGTTTTCGATTTTAAGGACGAAATTATTGATTTTGACACAGATAGCATAAAAAATGAACAAGTTGTAGATTGAGATTCACCTCCAATCTTCGATATACTCAGATGAACAACAAAATCTCTTATGACATCTAATCTATATTAAGGATCGAAAATGCTGATGCGATATTTTGGGAGAGGGTGAAGAATATAGAGAGAAGACAATAGGAGGACTGATCCACATCCTTCTCTTTTGAACATCTCACTAATATGGGTAGAACATTCAAGAAATTTAGGGTATTGGAATCAGGGTAGCGTAGATGAAATGTAGTCAACTCATAAACTGTGAATTGTGGCCTTGATTTCAGAAAGTCATGAAATAGATGTCTAGAAAACCTCTAAAGACTAAAAAAAGTTGCACTGATTCCTCCATATACACATCAAGATCCATTTATCTGGGAAGTATATTTATCACAAACAGTATTTAAACAAATTAAGAAAAAAAAAGTTGAAAAATGTGGTTTTGTGCTGAATTCATTTTAGCACACTTCTAAACCCGAAGACGAGTTTTCTCCAAACAAGGTAAAATGATGGCTGGAAAAATTCTTATTTTTAGTTTTTTTTTTAATTTGAAGGTTGTATATGATAATTTTTGTTTTAATGTTTAGTTTAAAGATTTATTTGTTTTTTAGGTATTCTAGAGTTTTTTTATTTATTTACTTCATGAGTACTATTCACAATTATTGTACACGAATATTGCTTATTGGTACTATTCATAACGGTAAACCTATCATTACGAATGTCAAGTTTAAGTTAGAACATATGGTATGTTTGGATACTTTTTGTACTTGGAACATAAAATTATAATATGTAAGAGGAGTATTGGGCTTTAAAGGGGTCATTCCATACGATTTTTAGAAAATTGAAAAAGAAATGAAAACTTTTGCTTTTGCAACTCTAGCTTAGGTGTAGAGAAGGGATACTATTTTTTTTTGAATTATGCTTGTATTTAGCTTTTTTCCTTGCTGTCGTACTTTTCTGCATCATAAACTATATCAAAAAACATAAATATAGAAATTATTTCAAATTTCAAGTTTCTAAAAAGAAAGTCTCTAAAAATTTTGAAATCCTTGAGAGAGTGAAGAGATGAGAATGAATGTGGGTTTGAGCATTATGGGTATTTTCGTCTCAAGAAAACTAATTTTTTAATTGGGAGTTAGATATAATAATAAATAGTATTAAAATTAGTGATGGTGTGAATTAAATGGTGCGGAGGGTAGGCATCGCCTACAAGGCATGACCATGGGTATTTATAATTTTCCTAGATAAATAAGAATATGGCTGGCCAAAACAAACCAAGAATGAATGCAAGTCCAGATGGACTAAAGAAAAGCCCACATAAACACAAAAATAATAATGGGAAAATCCTACTGGAATTTTTATACAATTAGAATAAAAATGACGCCTCACAAAAAATCACTTAAGCTCTTCTCGGAACCCTTTCCTACTGGGGAAATATATGTGACCCAACAACATATCAGTTATATGTGACTCAACTTCTTAGCCATTCGATTTGAATCGAACACCTGCTATTGTTCATGCCAAACACTGTTTTATTTATTTATTTATTTTCTATAAATTACTTCGGATGAAATTTTGGGCATCCCTACAATTTTAGGGCTATTCTGATAATTTTTCATGATCAGAAATATTTTATTATTTATATCATATGCGCCTCTGTCTGCGCTTTTGTCGGATCTATGCATGCCTCAAATTTTACTTCAAAATTATTTGTAGAATAAAAAAATAAAAAAAATGGCTATAATCTATCTGATCAAGATATGACACCTGCTATTGTTCATGCCAAACACTGTTTTATTTATTTTGTACAAAACACTTCGGATGAAATTTTGGGCATCCCTACAATTTTAGGGCTATTCTGATAATTTTTTATGATCAGAAATATTTTATTATTTTTATCATATGCACCTCTGTCTGCGCTTCTATCGGATCTATGCATGCCTCAAATTTTACTTCAAAATTATTCGTAGAATAAAAAATAAAAAAACCGCTATAATCTATCTTATCAAGATATGACAGTTAAAAGCTAGCTTGACACATTGCAACTCAAGCCTCTTTAACTATCTACTCAGATCTGACGGCTATGAGCAAGGTTCACATATGCTCCGTCTGACTAGCGCCTTTTATAATAACTTAGATAAAGATGCGAGAGGAAATAAATCTATTACTTGACCAAATATAAACTAATTTCTTATCTGATATACCCATGAGTTTTATTAAATATTTAGAAATTAAATCAAATCAAGTGACACAACTTTAAAATTAAAACCTATCTTTCAGCAAAACAAGATAAATTTTCCACGAGATTATGCATTCGTTTTGGACCAATCATATCCAAGGATATTAGGAATTCTAGCCCATACAGATTAAAACACAATTACTTCAAAGAAATTTGTATTTTTTGGAATTCATTAAAAACTCCAAATTTTCTAACTGATCTTAAAAGAGTCTTCTTTATGAAACCAAAATCACCTCGTATTTTATAATTTTTTAAAAAAAAGTTCTAAAAAATACTTCTTTGATATTCCCCCAAAATCTGCATTCCCCCAATTGCTTGTTAACAATGTAAGAAAAAGTGATTCAGATCACATCCATATTTTATTTTGTCATGTACACACATGAGAATTTGTACTCCACTTTTTTTTTAGCCAAATCCCAAATATTATTATTTTTTACTTAACTAATTTTTGGCAATCCCTATAGCCCCATAATTTTGTTGTTAATTTTCGAGATCAAAACTAACTTATTACCAATTATTTTCTACGTTGCCAATATATTGTAACAGAAAATTGTTTCTGGAGCGCATTCCTATATATGGGTCCAAATATATTGTTACAGAAAATTGTTGCTGGAGCGCATTCCTACATATGGGTACGGAAAGTATAAAGCATCCATCTTAAAGATTGATGCAAGAAAGTGTTCCATCTAAACCCAATGGAAACTAATAGTCCAAATGCTTTCTTACTAGGGTTATTATTTTTAGTTTTTTAAAATTTATTTTTTTTTTCATATTCGTAATCTCTATGTTAGATATTATATGTCCTTAAATATTAAGTCTTAAAATCCATCTCAAAAATAAATTTATTAAAAGACCCGCATTTCTACATAACCGGTTCCTATTGTTAATTCCTGACTTAGTTACGACAAATCCACACTTCGTATTCTACAGTAATGGTGTGGTCCAAAGGGTAACTAATGAAGTCCAGTGTATAACATCTAAAATTATGATCTAATGAGATCAGAGACCTATCTCACGAGAATCATAGATCACATCCAAAGCAGTGAATTTTAACGCACGTGTTGAATTTTTATTCAATTCATCGATGAACTCCTTTCATTTGAAAAAATCTGCCATAATTTTTACTTAATTGTGCATACACGTTCATGATCAGACCACATTGGACATTGGATAAGAGGCAAGAAATGAAATTCTAATTGATAATAAAAAAATAATACAAGTAACAATGTATTCACAGTGAATTTCACTCCCTCAATCTGTAAATTTTGCCTGAAAATGCTTGGAATTTGGGTTCTTCCTTAGGGCCGTCTTTCTGAATATTGGTAGAAGGGTTCTGAACATTAGTAGAAGAGTTAGGAGATTGAATGTTGGAAGAATGCATACCATCCAACCGCCTTCCAACCCCAGTCAAAGGGATGACTTCTCAAATTCCTTTAAGAGGTCTTCTCTAGGGGCTTCCTTTAAGAGGTCTGAACATTAGTAGAAGGGTTAGGAGATTGAATGTCGGAAGAAAGCTTTCCATCTAATCGCCATCCAACCCCTGTAAAAGGGATGAACTTCTCAAATTCCTTTGAAAGCTCTTCTTTGGTTGAAAGATAGAAAATAAGAGAAGCATTACTTCACGAAAGACGAACACCGAAATCCATTATATTCATGATGCTTTATTTATAGAACTCAATTTGTTTATTCTTACATCGCGAAAGACAAGAGCACCCAAATCCATTATATTCATGATACTTTATTTACATAACTCAATTTTTTTATTCACCGGATTCTTCTATTCAACTACCATTTTCTGAACAAAAGATCGCGAAAGAAAAGAGCACCCAATCCATTATATTCATGATGCTTTATTTATAGAACTCAATTTGTTTATTCACCGCATCGTTCCATTCAACTATCATTTTCTGAACAAAGGACAATGTTTTTTTGTTTCTTTAAGAGATAATGTCCAAGAATCTAGAGAAGATTAATGATTCAGTTAGAACAGATAAAGACTTTTCTTATTTGAGAGAGTCATAGTCTTTAACAAATCCTAAAGTAAAAGAATGGAATCTCAATGTGGACAGTGGATAACACTCTTTAATAGTAGGTCGGATAGCATAATAGAACATCACAAATTCAAAGAAATTAGCTTTGGATAAAGAACAACAAAGGTTAGGAGTCTCAGAAATATTCTAGTAAAAAACATGTGGATAGGATGCATAAATAAAGATCATAATTGGATCAAGTAATAATAGATTCGAGAAAGTAAAATGAAAATAAAAGAGGAATTAGGAAAAACCTTTCTTAGGTGCCTGGCTTGGTGAAAGAATAATAATAGATATGAGAAAGTAAAATGAAAAGAAAGAAGGAATCGGAAAAAAATCTGAGAAACCTTTATCAGGTGTCTGGCTTGATGAGAGAGTGGTAGCAGATCTTTGTGGCTCATTGTAATCGAGAGGGGGAGCAAAATCCACCTCATAGTCTGTATCAATAATACAGATGGCTGGAGTTGGTCTCGTTTCCACAATGTTTATATAATATTTTTTATTATTGAAGCCCAACATAATGCGGTCGCCAGTGGTTAAACAAGTGAAGCTCCGTAGAGTAGTCTCTAAACTATAAAAAACAAAGAAAAAAGCGATCAGAGATCTCGTCAGACAATGGAGTAGATTAAACCAAATATTTTAGCTCCTTTTTGCTTCCTCCTTTAAAAAATGTATCACGTTTAAAACCAATTTAATGGCTCCAATACTTTTTTTGCATCTCATTTCACATTAAAAGCAAATTTGACTTAACGCAAGGGAGAAGAGTTATGTCACTCAACCCCTCTATGTATCATAGGGGCTTATCAAGCAACTCTTGGATGATCAATATTCATAAGCCGCTTGCCTCATACAAAAATAATGCATATGAAAAAATAATAGTACATGCCACTCTTCACAGTGAACCACACCTTGTCCACTATATCTTGCCACCAAATGAAGAGTACATTGTTGTTAATGTCAGAGGAGCTCTTGAGAATCACCTCTTTTAGACAATTACCCTAACAAGTTAAGTTGAATCTATCAAGCAAGTAACCGTAGCTTTGTATAAGGGATGAAAATGAATAACTTGATAAATGACCAGTTTCAAGATTATTAATTTACAAATGGAGTTGTGTCCATTTATTTCCTTCTATTTCTTATGTTGTTATGCCTGTATTCCACTTACAACTTTTTATAACAATATATTTCTTATTTCTTTTTGCAAAAATCAAAATTTTCCATGCAAATAATTAATAGGATCAAATCAATACGACTTCCAATAGATCATAAACTCCGTCTTAGACAAAATATCTACACTACTAGCTGTAAAAAAAAGTTAGAGCACTTTTAGCACACCCAGACAAGAAGAGAGATATACAAAAACATAATTACTTGAAGGATCTGGTCATCTTTTTCTTTTTCTTTTTCTTTTTTAAATAAATGAAGGATCTACTCATTGTTCACACAACTAAAGCTAACTCAAAGGTAATTAGCAATGTAAATGTTTTGTATACCATATATCTTATATATAACTAGAAAAATAAAAAATAAATGGAATTTTCATAACACAAGAAATTAAAGAAGAAGCAAGCCCCAATCATGACGAATAGTAGCCTAGAAAACATTCAAAAACATATGAAAAAACAAAGGTGTAAACTTCCACACCAAACAGACTTGCCAATCAAGTTTGGATCCAGCTAGTCTTGAAGACTAGAGCGTAGACCGCATGATCTGAAACCAAGCTACCAACCATTTCGCAAACTACCCATGACAATCAATTCGTCGAAAGTTTGTCCAGTTGTATAATGGTTTACTCTTGATAAACAGGAACCCAGCAGATCCAAGCCAAACCAACTTTAACACCACCATCTTAGAACAAGCATGAACAATGGCAAGTACAACTGAAACACAGAATGAATAAATTTGCACAATTAGAAGCAATTACAATGATGAAATCATACTATTACAGTTTACTTACATGGCTTTTAGGTTTGAGATATCCAAAAATTCCTTGGTGTAAGGTTGCAGTTTCACATGTACCCTTTCGAAGGGTGCCGTTCTTTACTTCCACGTAATCGCCCTCTTGTAAATGCATGTTCTCCATCATCTAAAATTTAAAAAATTACAAAAGCATAGTAAAGAGAGTATTCTAGGACAAGAGCATCTCATGTCCTGCTTTGTATTAATTGCAACTACTAGATACATTGTTACACTAGAATTCAAAAGATACGTACCCAATTGGGCATATATAATTCGCCTTCTTCAGCAGTGAACTCTAAGACACCACAATATACGACATGTTCCGTGGAAGGATTCCAAAGCTCAAACAACATGGGGTATTCCATATGCATAGTTGCTGTAGAAAAAACATAGCATCGTGCATTTAATATTGTCAATACTAACATCCACCAGAAACAAAAGCATCAAAGATAAAGAATAGAGGAAAAAAAAAACAGTTATATATCTATATAAACTAAGCAACTCTACCTAACAATAAAGAAACCCTGGCCTGCAATAGAAATAAGAAAGAGAAAGATCTACTTACCAAGACTATGGAGTGCAGACTGAGGCAATATAACTGGAATTTTCAAGAAAAACGAAAACCTAAATTTAGGACTCAAAAAAAAAAAAAAAAGAAACTGAAAAAAAGGAAAAAAAAAGAAAAGAAAAGAAAAACAAGTTGATAAATAGCATAAAAGAAAGTTGGATTTCAAGAGAGTATACCTTTATCCCCACTTTCTACCTGAGGCTGAAAAGACAAAGACATAAAACATAGTTATGACAATGAAAGATTGAATAAACTAGTAAGAGAGAACATTCGTATATATAATAAAGCACAAGTTAGAGAAAAAAATTCTAGAACTAAAAACTCAAAGGGGATTAATTTGACTTATTTTTTGGGAATATGTCGAAACGCAATTTATCAAAAGAAATTCAGAAATGCAGCTATTGATTCCATTCATCAAGTACTAAACCTTGTAAAATCGACTATGATGTGACAATTTGTCGATAATACTAGATAGCAATGAGTTTGGCAAGC